TTGTCAAGTAGTATCAATAATGTAAACACATTTTGTTTTATCGTTCCATCCTTGTTACGGCAGATCAAGTGATTGAATGCAGTGACTTATCGTGGGGTTCCTACCCTACCCTCCTAAAAAATCTGACCCCTCCTCTAGTCGCCCCCACTAGAAATGTTTGAAGTTAAAAAAAATACGTTTAAGTACCGGTAGTTAATAATCATCTCATATCACCTTATTTTGCGAGCTAGCGCCCCCTCTCACTTATCCACCGCCGCCATTTCAAGACTCCAAGACACGCCGGATTGAATGACCTACTGTAACTGACTGATATAGAGATAGATAGATTGATTGATTGATTGATTGAAAGACGAATTAATTAATTTATTAATTGTTTGATTGATTGATTAAATGATTGAATGACCTAAATGATTGATTAATTTATAAATTGATTGATCGATAGATTGATTGATTGACTGATTGATTGCTTGCTTTATTGATTGATAGATTTACTGATTGATTGGTAGTTGGATTGAATAATTGATTTTTTTATTGAATGTGTCTTCTATGTGAGCATTATTGCTATTCCGACTGTGACGTCAAGACACGTTAAAAAAGAGAAAATGTTTTTAAAATGAACTGGAACTTAAATTTTCTACCAGCCCTTCGTGGACAGGTAGTAAGATGTTTGCAGCACATGTCACTGGGTTTTAGTCTATGTATTTTTTTGTATTAGGCCTATCTGCCTTTTTATATGTATATAAACATAAATTGCTTGATGTGGGCCTAAGAAAAACGTAGTTTTCACACCGAGATTCGAACACTAGACCAAATGATTATAGTTTGGTTGCGTTTCCAACTTAACATAGAGGACAAGTGGTTGATTTAATTTAATATTCTATCAGGCACATTATACTAAAAGTATTGCATAAGTATTGCATAATACACAATCAGTGAGCTTAAGTGCCCAGATTGTTATTATGGGGTTTGGCTATACAGCACAAGTTCGAATACCCTTGGTGAGAATTCCTTGAGCACCAATCTTGGTAGTGATGTTTGCGCTTTAGAAATCGATATAATAATAATAATATTATTATTATTATTATTATTATTATTATTATTATTATTAATATTAATACTCCTCTTGACAGTTAAGCATTTTATATTGCATATAATAATATATACATGCTTATCTGTAAGGAAGAGCAATTCTCCCCAGTGGGTATTTGCACCTGTACCAAAATGTGTTCCTAATAAAAAATATCACTTTGTTTGTCATAAACCTATATACAGTGCTGTAAACAATTAATATACTTGAAAATTGTTTACTTGTTACAATACCATATACATGAACACTGCTATCATTATCTTTGAGGGTATATTCATGACCATAAAACGAATTAATTGCTAATTGTTATCAACAATGAATTACACTCTATTCGTGAAATATTAATATCCAAAATCACGACCGTTGAAATATTTATTAAAATATTCTTATTGAATTAATATGTAAATAGGTTAGTATTGCAATAGTTACAATGAGGATAATGAAACAGGCGAAAAGAGCGTTGATAAAATGGTAATTGTGTTACATATCAAAGCACGCATGCGCACAAGCCATAAAATCACATAGCATTTATGTTTGATGATTCCCCATATAAGAGTGCCATCAACAGAAATAGCTCAATGTTTACAATACGAGTGAAAATTCTGGATTGGAATTAAGTACAGTAGAGCAGATTAATACCTCGATAACAAGCATTTGATGAGAATATTCTAAGAAGCGTGAAATAACAAAATTTAACAGCAGAGAGACGTGGAAAGCTGTATACTAAGAATAATGTGCAGAAACTTTAAACCTCTTCCACGAAGACATATCCCAAATCTATTACATAATTCTTTATTTGTCCTAATTCAAATTTGAAATCGTAAACTTGGATTGTACATTTCTTTGTATTTCTTGCCATCTGATGACTTTGATAACATTCTATATTATTTCAATTTGTTCTAAGAATTAAATTTTAGGGCTTGCCTATATGAACCAATTGAAAAAGAATGACATGATAAACTCAATTTTACTTGTAATTTCATAACGCTGCGGGCAAAATACGAATATAAAATAACGTATGGTCAATAGTTTCGCTCCATAGAATCTCAAGATCTCATGGATTCTTGGTGTATTCCCAGGAGTTTATAGACATTGCACTCTAGTGGAAATAATTTCAACACAAAACTATCAGAAAACAATGTCATGAAATGATTTTCCGTGGAAAATTGCTAATCACTTTGATAAGTTTTCACAGAATGTTAATGCTCCTATGACTAAATAATAAGAAAGTAAGTATGACTTGGAGAAGATTAACCTATATATGTAAACCCGGTGGATCTTTTTCATTTAATCATTCGAACATAACCTTTAGATCGGTGTGCGCTCAAGAATAACTGGTGCGTAAAAAACATAAACAAGGCATTAGATAGCGGAACTTCAAGACTCAAAATTGAAACGTAAATGCAATATCAATAATAAGTCTAAACCATTAAGCATGCTATTTCAGGTTTCATCTTCCGGATCCTGGTCTATTGCTATTTGGTAGCACTTGACAAATGATATTTAGAACCTTAAATACAGTTTAGAGATGAATTTGAAATTGGCTCTGAACACCAGTATTTAAATAAGTATAAAAATCAAATTATTGTGGCTATTGACTCTATTCTGGCGTCTTATAACTTAATCACAGCAAACAGTATGAAAACCACGACTAAACGGCTAAACGATGATCTAACATTAACTTTCTTTCAACACATGGGCATATTTAAGTATTTAGGATTCTGCTTGGTCAGTCTATAATAATTATGTTTTGGTATTTATGTTTAAGAATGTTTTACTCCTGAAAATGACCAAACGTAGGCTTAGGAATTTAAAAAAAAATGTATTCAACTAGTACTCGTATTGTACATGCGCAAGTCAGATCTCTTTAAACAAACTTTGGTGGCTGATACAACGATATATTACAGAAAACCCCAGGCACTGCATGACAGAACAACAACAGAAAACGCTACATACATGAAAGCAGTGCAGGTTAGATAAACATGTTGAGTCTTAAGTGATCGCTTGAAAGATTGATATTGAATAGCTCAGTTGGGAGATATTGCAGAGTCTCGCAACATAAGAACATGAACAAACTTCCAACTTCTTATTACGTGACGTGATAAAGTGTAGGCCTAATATAAAAAGATGCATTATAGGCTTAGCATGTAAATGGTAAATTTCGTCATCGTTTTAATGTATTTGAGACAAAGGGAGAGTACCGGTACTTGGTTTATCAGAGAAGGTTCCCTTGAAGGAGAAGGTTTTGTCCGAACTATAGTACCCTCTATCAGGAATAGTGAAATGAACAAAATAATTATATTTAGGCCTACTCTTTTCGAAGGTAGTATTTGTGTTTCTAAATTTAATATTAATGTGGTTGGTAAGTTTTATTTTAC